TTCAACCTAAAAACAAATACAAGCTTATTACCATCCACCATCTTATTACCATGAGTCTTCGCTATGCATGATTAACGTCCAGCAGCACTCAACCTTTGCCCATTTGATGCTTAGCCGTACACAAAACGACAATGTTCACTGTTGCTGGTTCGCTCTGTGTGCCCCGTGCCCCGAGCGAAACATCGGAGCGGTTGCTCTTGTGATCAGTGATCATATGATACATTTACTCGGAGCAAGATCATTGGAGTAGAACTGGTAAATCATTAAACACACGCTCAGCAGTCTTCCTGCTGAGCAAAAGACTGCTACACTACACATAAGTGCAGACACCATTACTTCAAATGTTCTTCCCCATGCTATTACCTAAGAAAACAGGATTAATGTGTTTCATGCGCACAACAGCAATTTAAAACACGTTATTCTCTTCCCTCCTAAGCCACGATCATTAAGGTCAGATATAAAAAACATTTGAATTAATAAACTACTGCTCTACCTTTCATGCCGGTTGAGGCTGTTGCTGGCAAAATATGCATTTAAATGATTTTCCCCCAGCACATATATGTTTTTTTCCAGCTTATATAATAACATTTAAATATAATAATGTTTGTATTAGTACACAATAATATTAGGCTTCGGTTCAGAACGCTGAATTATGCACAGGAGTCCTGTATGTGCATGTATATTACGGCTCGATTCAATCCCTTGTAGTGAATTATAGCATTTCTCATTTCATCATAACATGCTGTAAGACACTGCAAGCTAGTGCTACTTATTTGTTCCTTTGTTGTTTATTTCTGAAAGTGTTGTCTTGTTCCTAACCCCCAACTTAAGAAGTATGACACATGGATCATAAAAAATTCTATCTAGTGAAGAAATAAACGTGTCATGCCAGCATTAAATGTTGACTCAAATAAGTTCTCAAGTTGTGTCTCCTCTGATCTCTAACATGATCAGAAAGCAGCACCAGTTTACAGAGACAAGACGAGAAAAAAGTTCCATGCACAGACACAAAAGAAATATTTTGATATAGAGCCAAAGAGAAAACATATCAAAAGACATTTTTATACATGTCTTTTGCAAGCACAAAAAGCAGAAATGGTGTCAAGAGAAAACAAAACAGAAGGCTTGTTTCTTCCAACAATTGCTTTAAGCTACAAAAATCTCCTTGAGTCCCTAGCCTCCCCTCAATGTCAGCCCCCCCTCCCCTCCCCTCCCCTCGCCCGCCCTCCCTCTCTCTTCTCTTTCGTTTCTCTCTTTTCCCCTTTTCCCTCTCTAAGGCAGGACAGGGCCCTCTTTGCACCCTGATAGGTTGCGGGCTGATGCTTAGCAACAACATTCCTGTGCCCTAAGTAGCAGTAAGCCTCTGGCTGAACTCTTTGATGTGGCTGTCAGGCCACATTTATTTCCTTTTAGCACTTTGTCTACTTGTCCAGATGTATAAGGAGATAAAAAGGCCTGGTGTTTACACTGGTCTCCCTCTGTAGCGCGGCTGTAATTAGATTGTATTGCTGGTCAGTCTTAAGGAGGGAGGTGAGGTGAGGCCAGGCAGGAACCACCTGTGTCAGGATGAGCTGGTCAGGGTGAGACCTCAGATCAGTGTTCTGAAAAGCAATGTGTGTAACACGGAGCAAAAATACTGACTCTGTACATAGCGCTGTGGCAGCCAGCATCATAATCACATTCTAGGGAAATCTTCCCAGATCAGTTGTCAGTGTTATTTTCTGTAATATAACATCCATCAAGATTTGAAATCGACAGCCAAGCTTGCAAAAACTTTGTAAACTTTGTTGCAGTTGAATCTGAAAAACACCTCGATATGCGTCAGCCTTCCCCAACTCACTTTTTGGTATCTCGTATTTTTCAGGAAACCCTGCTGTGGAGATGGTTATGTGTTCCATGTGGCTCTCTTTGTGTTTTGCTTTTCTTGTCTTTCCATCCCTCCCCTGTCTCTCTCTCTCTCTCTTCCTGCTCCCCTCTCACGGTGATATGTTGGAAGTAATAATCACTTTTGCCTCTGGGTTTCAACTTTATCAGCATTTATTCACATAACAACACCGACAAGGAGAAGACAGACAGCATTGGTGTGATGTATGATCCAGTACGGGAATCATCTTTCATAATGACATCCAACAGAGCTTCCCCACACTGCCACCGCCCTTTTCTCTCTCACACACACGCACTTTCTTCATTTCTTTTTCCCTATTTCCACTCCCCTCTGTCCACCCTTTATTATCGCAGAATCCATGGTGCTCCCCAGCCTGTAAATTTGTGCCGCATTATCATAAGCTGTGGTGATAACTCACATTGCACAGAGACAATAATGATGTGAACACTCAGCATATGCCCCGGGCCCAGCAAATTAAAACAATGCTCAGCTTGATGAGCAGACTAATCTGGACAGCAGAGAGACTGGGAAAGAGGGAGAGAGGAAAAGGGGGTTCAGGAGCGTCTTAAATACACGACACAGCAGCACCTCCCTCTGTTCAGTGTAGGTACAACTGGAGAAAACAACGGGGAGAAAGGGACAGGAATGAAGGATAAAGGAAAGGGGGAATAAGGGCATTCAAAACATAGATGAAGCGACCATCAATGTCTTTTATTTTTTATATTTTGTCCTACAGGTGTAATCAAACAAAGTCATATTTATGTAATTTAATAGTCAAAACTAAAATAATGTGAATCTTTGTATTTTTTATAATTTGCCGTGTAGCACTCTTTGTTTATTTTAACAGTTCAGTGTAAATGTAAGTAGGCAAAGACTAGTGGTGTAACCCATTTGTATATATAGTATATTAAAATAATCACTGTTCACTCCATCAGCTCCTTTTTGAAGCAAGTACAAGAGAGAAATATTTTCTTCATTTATTCTGCATGCTTCCTCATTAAAAGCATTGCGCCTTTGACATCCTCTGGACAAGTCATTGACTAAAGTGAAAGAGTTGTGGAGGGATAGAGAGGAAGGTCTGCGAGGAGAAAAGGGAGGATCGGGACACAGGAAAGCTGGCTGATTGATGTTCTGTGGGTGGGTTAAAATGGTTGTGCTGGATAGGACGGGAAGTGACAACCACAGATTGTTGAATGGGTTGGGTGTTTGATCAGCAGGCACGATACTGAGGAGGTGAAGTGGTGGTGTCATGCATAGCACGGGGACTGGGTGGGCGGTGATACTGAAAGCAAGGTGACTGACGTCCCATAGGACCAAAACCAGCCCAAGGCTTTATCCAGTATCAAGCTAACGCAAGCAGTCCTCCCTCTCCTTCTCCTCTCCAACACCCCCCTAACATAGTCTGTGGGTGGTGCCGTTAATAATGTGGCAACTAGGATGATTAATTGTAAGCAAGCAGCAGGATTAGGAGGGGCTTTTGGGGGGCAAGCAGGCCAGAAGAGGCCCAGGCTTGTGATCTTTCAAGCGGTCCAGGAAATGAGGCAAGCAGGGGCGCAGCTTCACGGTGGCTCAGAAGAGCATGGAGGTATACATCAAATAAAATCAGCTCACAATTCATGTATTAATGCCTGAGTCGCTCTGTTAGGCCATAATGATTGTCATAGACAGACTCTTCTGTGTTCATCATGAGAGCCATTAGCAATTTAACCCTCAAATGGTAAAAGGCTAAATTAGGGCATCAAGAGCCTTTTTAAGATACAATGTGTGTAAGTGTGGTTCCCATTCCAAAATGATTTATTTATTGTGTAGGAATAACATGAATACCTAATTGTTGTATTCACAAATGAGGATTTTAGCATTTTTTTCTCAGGACAGCATGTTTTTGTTTTGGGTTGTTTTACAGCTTATATTACATATTACATTCAAGCACAGCATGCAAGCAAGGAGTGATCTGGGATGTTTCAACCACTCCAGAGGCAGCAGGTCTGCTGTCACAATCATATTTCTATTTCAAGCTGCTTCTTTTAAAAGCATAGTCCACCACTATATATGTGGTAAGGTCTCATAATAAGCTTATTTAGCCATGTTTCTCTTTGGTGTAATGTGACACACATGCTGGCCAGACCTTAATGCCTTTCAGAGATGCGATCTGAAAGCACATTATGTGATCGTTTTCAATTCACATTGCTCTCTTTGCCCATGAAGAATATGGTTCCATTTAACAGTGAAGACCATTCCATTTCTCAAGGTTATGCATGTACTGTAGAGGAACAACAACAAAAGTGGGAAAAATGCAGCTCCAAACCATCTCTAATATGTATTTGTCAGTTGAGTCTCTTGTTATGATTAAAGACCCAGTGAATTCCTTCCTGCAGGAAAGGAAAGTATTTTCTACAAAGGCATCGGATATCGCTGTGTCATGATAAACTGCCTGCTCCACTACCTAAAAGGCTAAGGAAAGGAAGAGGATGTTTTGGACCTTGAAAAGTGCACGAAAAAACAACAACACAAGAAACTCTTGACCTGTTTGGGAACACGCTCTGAGATTCAGCCTCTGTTTTCTCTTTGTCTCAAAGCAGCATTTGTCACACTTGTTTATCCTTAACCTCTGACTTTGCTCACAATGAATAGCTCTTTCCAGTTTTGCAGCCAGGAATCTATGCACATATTTACCTCACATCTCAAGTATTTGACATTAAATAAGGTTAAGATGAGCTTTATTCAAAGTGAAAATTGCATTTCCTCTCTGTCGAGGGGACTGCTCTCACATGACCACGCTACATTTGGCTGCTCAGAGTGAGTGACGTTTACCCTTTAGTTGACCACTGAAGGAGGTCATGGCTGAATGAAGGTTAGGACCTCTCCTCCCAAACCAGGTCGTAGATCAGATCATCAAAGACAGGAGTGAAGCTCCACAACACGTGAGAAGTAATAAAACATGACCTGCCACATTATGTCATAAAAAAGGAGCAGTGTTTCCAACGTGTCCTGCACGAACCCCAAAGGATGTATGACACTCAGTCAGCTACAGTGTTATTTGATATTTTAAAACTTGTCAAACCTTTTTTTATTATTTTATTATTAATCCTGTTTGTATATCTCCTTTCCCCTATAGCCACCAAATGAAGCTGGATCTGAGAGTCACCCTCTGCCCTACACTCCTCTACCCCAAGGATCCAGAGATGCCAAGAACCACAGAGGTAAGGGAAAAAAAGAAAAGCCTTTGGACTTCATAACCTTTTCACTTAGGCGGTTTGTACATACATTTGTACAGATATTCTTCAAAGTGAAGAAGAAGCAACACGATATATTATTATATTTCAGCCCACAGATTATGTAAATAAAAGTCCTAACCCCAACGGCTACAGTGAGTGGGAATCTGTTGACCTTGCGACTGAGCTGAATATATGTTATCTATTCTTATTGATCTAATTTCATCTGTGTGATTCGTTGATAGAGGGAATAAATCTGAGTAATCCAGGTTAACTCTGATCTGAATGTATGCGTGGGAGCACACAGCACATATACAAGATGAAGCATCCTTGATCTGTTGATACTAGACATTGATTAGGCCCCATATTGACCCGGTGTGTTCGGTTGATGAAACTGTGTAGCAACTGCTTAACATCAAACACTGCACTATAGGAAGACTGCATCACATTAGATAAAAAGGCACTATGTCCTACATCCATTGTGCAGGCCCTGGCCGTCCATTTTATTATATCATACCCATACATCAGATTCTATGAAAAATGTGTTTACTTCAACTTGGATCCTCCGAACTGTATCAGTTTCAAAACCATGTATAGCATGTAGTCAGTTCCTGTGTCCTTGGACTACAAACATGCATTTCTTTGTATATTAAAGATTATTTCACACCGTAGATATCACCACACTGTAGCTACATTGTAACCATTTAACAAAAGGTGACGTAAAAAGTTTCAATAGGACTTAAAGGTAGGGCATTTTAACATATATTCTTGCAAAACAAAAAATATTAAGCAGGTATTCTCCATTGTAAATTGTTCAAGGTCTCAAATGTACACATAACCAGGAGTTCAGCTGGCAAGACTACATAACTGAGATTGGTGTGTCGTGACCAGATGCAACAGTTCATCCAGAGTCAGGAGCTACTTTTCAAATACGCCCCACTTTTCTCAGATCTTTCTTAAGCCTGAGACATTTATCAGTGTCGTCACTAAGCACATCACCTTTGATGGGTTGACCACCAGTATGGTAGGCCAACATGTCAGCAGTGAACATATCTACCCCCCGTTTATGGTGCCAAGGACAGATCTATGTCATAAAAGTGGGGACGGTGGCAGCTCGCACCGGATGTAAGGACAGGAAGAGCCCGTGCTTTGTCAAAATCCGACCTGGTTGGGAACAGTCCATTTAAAGGTGAGGGGATCTGACATGAAATATTTTCCCCTCCGTCTAAGATCTGAGCAGCAGTGACAGTCTCCATTTGTTATTTTTATGATGCAGTGCTGCAGTCTTAGATAACACAGCCCTCATCTTCGCCCTTCACCTCCTCTTCATGTCCCTGCCTCCAGCCCCTACCCCAGCTCTTTGTTATGCTTTTTCCTTTTATTTACACTTCTTAAACATACTTGAGTTCTCTTTATTTGTTGAAGACGGTCACAGTAACTCCTCATTCAAAGAGAACAAAGCTGTGGCAAAGCAGCGCTACAACAAACAACGTTTTTCAGACAGTAATTTGAAAGCATTTACCGTGTTAAATTCAGGGTAGAAACAATAGGGCTAAAACAATGTGCGGAACAATTTGATGTAGTTAAATGCAACACTCTCATTTCAATATGAATAGAGAATGAAACAATACGCTACATGACTTTGTTGAAAAAGTGATATTGTGTTTTTGTATTGTAAGTCCTGTTCATGCTGTTGAATTGATTTTGTTTGGTAGATATAATTCAGCAAGTAGAGGCACTCTGCTGTTTTGAAAATATTTTGTATTATGTAATTTAATGAGATTTATAGAATCAAACCATGATTTGGAGAATTACATTACATGCTTGGTAAGCAGCTTAAGAGTTTGTTAGTACACACAAATATGTTAGTGAAAGTGGTTATTTTAAAGTTGTTCCGGTACAAGGAAGGTTATATAGTTGTATCATGACTGCTAGAGTAGCAGACAGATCAGCAGCACTTCTCACATCGCCCTGTCGGCTGCTCAGAGAGAACCTCCCTTTCCTCCTTCCAACCCTCTGCACCCACCCCTCCAGCGTGTCACCTGTGTGCGAGCCCCAGAGCCTGGGTGCCAGAGGTAATTACAGCGACTAGAAGCTCCCAGAGGAGGGCAGCGCTGGCAGGTCACTGCCCGGGGAGAGAGGGGTGGAAACCAAGGACAGAACTCCAGGATAAGCTCCTGTCTTATTTGGTGGAGGAGTCAACCTGGAGTAGGCAAAGCAAAACAAGGCAGCGAGCAGAAGAGCAGAGGGAGTGAAAGGTGAGGGAGGAAAGAAAACATGTGGTAGTGAAATCTAAATTAGGATTTCATAGACCAGATCTGACAAGAGATTATTAGACCGAACAAGAGGGAAAGTTAAATAAGAGAGGAAATGACAGTAAGAGGACCAGCGTTAAACAGTGTAGAGACTTAAAAATGAGAGAGCTAGACAAAAAGACAAAGTGAAGGAGGATGGTGGGGGCTCCAGTGTGTCTTGGTGAAGGCGTGACACAGAGTGGAGTATATAGTCTAGCAGAGGGGCCTGAGGATCCTCCACTACTGTCACCTTGGCTCTAACTCTCAGTACTGGTCCAACTGTCAACACAACTCTAAATCTAACCTTCCGAAATGGAGTCCCAGCCTAAAGTACTGTGTGTCTTCACTGGCCTACACTGTACTATTAGCCACAGCCAATGACATGTTGTGTTCCTGTGCCTTACCATGAGGAATTATCATTTCAATATTGCAAAACAATGTGCTGGGTTATTTATTACCACCTTGTCATTTTCTTAGGGTGACACATTTTGAAGTGCAATTCTCAAGTTTATTTCATAGATCTAATTATAACTGTAGTTCGCAAGAATATAAAAGAAATACTTCTGACTTGATTGATAGATCCATGTACACAGAGAAGATTTTAATGAAATATTTTTCATTTCGTCTGTATATTTCAATAAATACGCAGATTGGAAACTGCTATTTTACAGGTATCAGATTAGATGTGAGTAGGCCATCCCTCAGCAGTGACAGCGGTAAATGAAAGGGGATATATTTGTACAAGCAGAGTAAACAGACGAGGAAAAATGCCTGAAACCCGCCTTACAGTATGAGCCCCGGGCCCTTTTAATCTTGTTGTTCTGGGCCCGCTTCCAGCTACTTTGTATGTATGTATCTTAAATGGTGCACAACTGTTATTAAAATCCCGGGAGAAAGGCAGCCTTCAAAGCAAAAAAAAAAAACACCTTCTTGACGACACCCATGGGGGGTCTCGCATTTGTTTGCCGGTTTACTTTCATTACATGTTGGGGTGATCTGCCCCCGCAACTCCTGCTAAACTCCCCCTCGCTCCCTCAACGCCCCCCAAAAAATTGAACAACGGGAACAGATCCAAACTAAGAGTAAACTGTTTTATAGTTGCTGCACAACAAATAAACAAACATCTGGAAGCATTCAGAGCGGCCCATTAGAAGGGCTCTGGGCTTTGCCAAAAAGGGGTAAATGATGAGGAATGGGCTGTCGAAAGGCTGGCGGAGACAGGGGAGAGGCCAGATGACGGAGCTGTGGGTGCTAAGCACTGCCTTTTAGAGCTCAGCTGGGCTCAGATAGATCTACACCTGCTGCTATCTCCTCCTCCCCTCCTTTCCTCCACCAGACATCTGGATGGGATACATGACTAATGGATGACTAAACTGCTAGTGTTGAAACTTAGCTGTTGTCATTATGAAGGGGAAGGTTGTTGGTTTGACTGATGACTTAATGGTCTTTGCACAACACACTTAGAAAAACTAAAAGCAAGTTTGATAGCTTTAAAAATGTTAATGTATCAAACAGATAAACAGCTCCCTAATGTTGGTTTATTGTCACTTGCTTAATAACCAGAGCTGATTATTGTGTTTATAACTGCATGGGTCATATGGCGTTGTGAATACAAATATTAACTTTCCATAAAGCGCTGTTATTTTAAGTAAACACATAGTACTAGTAACGGAATCTTTTAATTAATACATTCCCTCATACATCTGTTTTCCGTGCTTATCTTGAGGGATTTTGTTCTTTTCTGTTTGATGTCACGCTGTAGTTTAAATGAAGATCATCTTCCTGATGATAATCTTCCTGTTCTGGTTTAGATCGCCTTGGCATGTTCCATGAGTATGGAAATGTTCTCTCTGGAACGCTGAGAGAAAAGACAGAGCACCTTTTGACGTTTCCCATTAGACACATGTACGTGCTCTGCAAGACATTTCACTCAGCCTCGTAATGATTATACCAGCAGGATCTGTCCCCTGATAAACATCACTCTTAAGCACAGAGACTGGCCCCCACACAACTAAAATGAGGCATGTGGAAAGAACAAAGTGTAAGCTTTTCCTCCACAATGGTCCAGAGTAGTTATCCGTTTCAGATTTGCGTTTTATAAACTTTTTTATGATAAACTACATGCGTGCATTCAACATTGAGAAATGACAGATGATGAAACGTTGCATAGAGAATGATATATACAGATCTCCCTGCCAGCCGTGCACACTGAGCATGTGTTGAGTGAGCCTCTGCTCCAAAGTCTACGAGGTGAATTGACAAAGTAAAGACATGGCCTTCTTCCCGGGTAAAGAGACCATAAAAATGTTTCCCAAACACTCGTCACGGCATCAACGTTTTATTTCTTTGCAATGTTTGCCAGTTTGCAAGCTTATGAGGTGTTTATGATTAACTTTTAATGACAGTGTAAGCTTTTCCTCCACATAAAGCCATAAAAATTAAAACCACAACAGATGGTCTTATTTGTTAGTATGAACATAAAAACGTGCCCCACAGGCTATACTTAAATATTTCAAAAACAATAATAAGTACTCCAGTGTTTGAAAGTAAAGTACCTTTACTGAAGTATTGTACTACCTTACTATATTTCTCCTGTTTTATAGATACATTTATTGAACAGCTGTTTTTTTATTAAGGTTAATATTTTTAAACATAATCATGTAATCAAACTCATAGCAAACATTCTTCTGGATA